ATTGACACTATGGATGGTTTTCAAACTGTTATTACTGTTGTTTATGGTACAACAGTGGTGGTACTAGAAGAGGTCTTTGGGAGCATTTGAAGACTGTCAAGAATGCTATTGGATCCTCTTCTTGGGTGATTGGTGGGGACTTCAACATAATTACCAGAGCTGAGGAAAGTTCAGACTTCGATGTTATGGGAGTTCATAATTCTACTGACATGAAGGAGTTTCAGGACTGCTTGGAGGAGCTTGATCTGATGGACCATCCTTTCCTTGGGCCTATCTTCACTTGGTCAAATAGGAAGGAGGGTTCTTTTTTAGCTCGGAAGCTAGATAGGATTTTGGTTAACTCTCAGTGGTTGTTGGATTATCCTAATTCTTTTGTGGAATTCAAAGCTCAGGGGGTCTCTGACCATTGCCTTGGGCTTTTATGGTCTCAAAAGGGTATTTTGATTAAGAAGCCTAAACCGTTTAAGTTCTTTAATTGTTGGTCTTCACATGACAAATTCCTGACAATAGTTAAAGACTCATGGCAAGTGCACTGTGCAGGTTCTGCCATGCAAGTTCTGTTTAGTAAAATGAGAAGGCTTAAGCCTCTCTTAAAAGAGCTCAATAAGGAGTTTTATTCTGACATCTCTGGTAGAGTGAAGGGTAAAAGATCTGAGTTGGAGCAAATTCAGATTTTTAATTTGACTCATGTTGAGCAGAGAAGAGTTGATGAGGAGAAAAGAGTCTATGATGAGCTTGTTAACTTGGAAGTAGGTGAGTCTGAGTTCTATAGACAAAGAGCTAAGATGCATTGGTTGAATGAGGGAGATCTCAATACTAAATTCTTCCATCAGAGGGTCGAATCCAATAAGAAAAGAAATACCATTAGAGTAATTAAAGGTGAAGATGGTCAATTTTATGACACTTTTGAGGGCATGGCTGCTGAACTATTAAGTTTTTTCACTAGTCTAATTGGAGTTGAGGACCCTCTTGTCAAGAGTAGTTCTATTGAAGATCTGAAAGGCCTGTTAAACTACTCCCTACCAGAAGGAGATGTTGATTGTTTAATTAGTGAAGTGACTGATATGGAGGTTAAGGAGGCCTTGTTTAAGCAAGGTAAGGACAAGAGCCCGGGTCCTGATGGGTACACCTCTGGTTTTTTCAAGGCTGCCTGGGATATTTTAGGTGCTGATTTCACTTCTGTTGTGAGGTATTTTTTCCAGACCTCCTGTTTGTTGCCTGCATTCAATGCCACTACCATTGTTTTGGTTCCTAAATCCCTTAATGCATGTCTTGCTAAAGAATTCAGGCCTATTTCTTGTTGTTCAGTAGTTTACAAAACTATTACAAGAATTCTAGTCAATAGACTTGCTCCTTTCTTTCCTAGTATGATATCACTTAGTCAGTCAGCATTTGTTAAAGGCATGAACATTGTTGATAACACCTTGCTAGCTCAGGAAATTGTTAAAGGCTATTCTAGAAAGAGCCTTTCTCCTAGATGTGCAATCAAAGTTGATTTACAGAAGGCTTTTGACTCTGTTAGTTGGGATTTCTTGTTGAAGGTTTTTACTGCTATGGGTCTCCCTTGTACTTTCTGTAATTGGATTAAGGCCTGTATTACTACACCTATGTTCTCTTTTTCCTTAAATGGTAGCTTGGTGGGGTTCTTTAAAGGAGGTAGGGGGATTAGGTAAGGAGATCCTTTATCTCCTTACCTATTTGTTTTAGCCATGAATGTTTTGTCATCTCTCTTAGATGTTGCTGCTAAGCATGGTATTTTTAAGTTCCACCCCAAATGCAGAAGAATATCTCTCACTCATCTATGCTTTGCGGATGATCTTCTTGTTTTTTGTCATGGCTCTTTGGACGCTGTGCTGGGAGTGCAATGCACTTTAGATAAGTTCTATGAGCTTTCGGGTCTTAAACTGAATGCCCAAAAGATAGAATTATATGCTTGTGGTGTGAACATGTTTGACTTGGAACATATCAAAATGGTTATTGGGTTCAGGGTGGGACAACTGCCTGTGAGGTATCTTGGTGTGCCCCTGGTGACCGCAAGCTCACTGGCAAAGACTGTGAAGCACTTTTGACCAAGATAAAGGACAAGCTCAGGATTTGGTCTAACAAGAACCTGAGCTATGGTGGTAGGCTCCAATTGATTAAATCTGTTTTATTCAGTATTTTTAACTATTGGAGTAGGCAATTGGTTCTGCCCAAGGGTGTTATTAAGGATATTGAATGCCTCTGTATGTGTTTTTTCTGGAAAGGCAGTGATTCTTCAGCTAAAGGGGCTCGTGTGGGTTGGAGCCATATTTGCTCCTTAAAGTCTGAGGGTGGTTTGGGTCTTCGAAGCCTTGTGATGTGGAATAAAGCTTGTTGTTTGCTCCTTATTAAGAACATTTTGGCTAATGAAGGCTCTCTGTGGATTGCCTGGATCAATGAATATTGTTTCAAATCAGTTAGCTTTTGGGATGTTGAGTGTAAAGCTCACTTCAGTTGGATCCTGAGCAAGCTTCTGAGTATGCGGGAGGAGGCTAGACGTTTATTCCTCCCTTGCCCCAACTGGAGTCTTATTAACGGAAAATGGATTTGGGACAATATCCGGGATTGCAAGGCGAAGGTAAACTGGCATAGACTGATCTGGTTCCCTGCTCACATTCCAAAATTCTCTCTTGTCTCGTGGATGGTCATTCTCGACAGATTGCCTACTAAAGACAGGCTTGTTCGGTTTGGTTTGGATATTGACAATGTATGTGGTTTGTGTGGCTCTGGCATTGAATCTCGCGATCATCTTTTTGCTGAATGCCCTTTTGCAAAAGAAGTGTGGGGGATTATTTTAATCGCTTGTGATATTCGTTATGACCTTAACAGTTGGGGTGACATTTTCAATTGGTTGATTGTAAACTTGAAGGGCAAATCCATCAGAGTTCGTATCATGAAGTTGGCTTGTACTGGTCTGCTGTATTTTGTCTGGGAGGAGCGTAATCATAGACTCTTTCGAGGCTCGACTCGCTCGGTTGATGTAGTCGTAAATAGCATAAAAGAGGATGTTAGAGTCAAGTTGTGTAGATTTGGATGTCCTAGGATTGAGGATGTTAATAGCCATTTATACTTGAACTGGGGTCTGTATTGAGGTTCTTTGTTTACTCTAGTAGCTAGGCTGCTTTCTTGGATGGAATATAAATTACTTATCCAAAAATCTGATTAAATTATAATAACTAGAATTTTAAGTTGTGAACTATAAACGTTTACTATCTATTATTTTTTAAATTTTGATTAGATATTGTTTTGGGCATTGAAGAAGTAAAAAAAAATCAGCTAAAGATTGTCAATGGTAAACGCTTAACTATCTCTCGTCCAGACTTTCGAACCTTGAAAAAACCCCCCAAAATGTCATTTTTTGTCAGTAATGCTTAGACACTACCGCACATAGAGTTAGGAAATACTACTAATTTAGGTATTTATAATATATATTTTTTCCTCCCTTGTTGAGTGACACAGAACAAGAGATCATCTCGCACTGCTGTCGCAATCCGTCCGCCTTGTGGTCGTTTATGATAAGCAGTCACAACATATTTAAATTCGAAAATTAAATCATATTTATATATGATTTTTTCCTTGGGCGATTTTATCTCTGAACTTAGCCTATAAATAGAGAAGCTTTGTTAGCTTCTCAACACACTCTCAACACTCACTCAACACTCACGTATCCTCTCTCAAAGCTTTCTAAGCATTCTCTGTTTTTCGATGAAGAAGAGCAATACTATCAGCAGTACACTCCAATCTCAGGTGTATAAAATCTCCGAGCGATCGTGCTAACCTCGAGGGACAATCCTCTTGTTGAAGCGATTACACACAACGGGACGAATTTATTTCTAAGGCAATGGTTTCACTACAACAAGATTCTAATTATTCGATTATTTATTTTTTATTATTATGTTCGATCAATGCTAACAGTGTGATTTTACCATCCCATTATTTCCAACCTCTTTAACCTAAAGAAATAAATAACATGGCATCCTCTATTTCCATAAACACTCCAATCTTGAAAGTGGGAATTTAGGTTGAGATTTGAGAGTTACAAAATTACATTAAATTTTGATTGATATTCCCAATTTTTATTTAAGTCTAATTTAATTTCAATTTCATCACTCCATTTAAATTTATATTTTAAAGGTTTATGTTAGATCATAAGATAAATATTAAATTATTTAAATTCGAAGTTAATATCCAGTTTATTATATTTTTCACTGCACACACGACCTATTATTAAACATAAAGTAAGTTATGAATTATGATTAAACTTGCATTACATGATAATGAAGAGAAGAGTAATAGGAGAAAACCAAATCTAATAATAATGGACAAAAATGTAATATAGAAGAGCCAAATTGCATGATTTTCATATTCAGATTGAATTATTTTTGTACATATTATCGTACAAAAATTAGTGTAAAATACACCGGTAACTAACATTATGCTTAAATTTCACATGTCGAATATTAAATGGAGAATCAAAGTGAAATGAATCCTTGTATGCTTTGAGGAACAATCTTCCCCAAACGTAAGGTTTTATTTATATAGAATCAAAGTGAATGCGTTTTTGATTTGTAATATATTTGGTATTACTTTCTTCTTCCAATGTGAAAAGAAGAAGAAAGAATAAACTTTCTTACTTTTACGTGGCAACGACAGAGGGAATTACAACACTTTGTCAATGTAAAGTTGGTTGCATAGAATCCGTACTCCCAGATTCCCGCGACATGAAACGCCACCGTACAAACACGCTCCCTCGTCTCAAATCTAATCATCCTTTTACGTGGATTCTCGCTTATCCTCCCCTAAAACCCCTCAAACTTTTACCATAATTTCAATCATGTCCCCACTTTAAACCCATCCAACGTCGATTAAACTCCCAGCAGACAACAACAAATTCCCCCGACAAACACTGAATCTAAACTCCCTGCCAAAATCTAAAATATAAAAGTTTTTAAAATAATTATTATTTCAAAATCTTCTTTTTTCGTCAAATTCGCAATATCTGTTTCCCGAAGAAAATTGCTCCGCCATGGCCAAAGGCAAAGCTCCGAGGAGAGCTATCGAGTCTTATACACTTAGGCAAATCAATAAGACAATTAAAGGTAAGCCTTAAGAACTAAATAAGATGAGAGCAATAATAAGTTTTTTTTTGTGGTGTCCCTAAAAGTTGTGGTGGCAATTGATAGCGGGGGATTGCGTGTTGATGCGACCAGCGGAGCGATCGAAACAGCAATACGTGGCGAGAATCGAACGGATCGAGGCGGACACACGTGGGGGAAACGTGAAGGTACACGTGAAGTGGTATTATCGGCCGGAGGAGTCGATCGGAGGCAGGAGGCAGTTCCACGGTTCTAAGGAGATTTTCTCCTCTGATCATTACGACGTGCAAAGCGTTGATACCATTGAAGCGAAGTGTACGGTTCATAGCTTCAAAAGCTATACCAAGCTTGATGCTGTTGGAAACGAAGACTACTTCTGTCGTTTCGAGTACAATTCCTGCACCGGTGCTTTCAATCCTGATCGTGTGGCCGTGTAAGTTATTTTTCCTTCAGTATTTTCATTTTACTTTTACTATATTTTTTAATTTCTGAGTGGCTAATGGTTTTCATTTTCCCACCAAATTGATATTCTAGTGACTTAATGATCATTTTTTAAAAAAAAATTCTAGTTATGTTTTGATTAGTTAATCACTCGACAAGTAAAAAAGAAGTTGGTTATACATTGGCTTGAATATTAGAAAAGGAAATGGTTAAAATTTTATGTACGGAACAGTTGTAAGTTAATTGCTTAAATTTGTGCATTTTGAGCTGCATTGTTCTTGTCTCGAAGTATATGAAAAGGTTTAGTTGGTTTCAATTAATAGCAATACTTGGTTTAATTAAAGTTTTGGGAAATTGTTAAAAGAACTTGTTCATTTTCATTCATTCAATAGACACCATTACTTGCTTAAATTCAAAATTAAAGGGTTTCTTTTAGCATATTATAGGTTGGGGTTGTTGAGGTTTTACTTAATGTTGGCAGTTACTGCAAATGTGAGATGCCTTACAATCCTGACGATCTAATGGTTCAGTGCGAAGGCTGCAGTGACTGGTAGGTTGGATGCTTTGGGTTATTTTAGCCGACTAGTTTAGTTTTTTATCTTATATGTGACGATTTGTGGATTAATATTTTGTATGAAGCTGTTCAAAATATGAGCACGAGTTCTCCCCATAATGGTTTTTGTTCACGTATAACGACTGATAATTTTAGGTGGTCAAATTAATTAAGAGACAATGGTAGACTGGTAAGCTGCAATTAATGTCTGGTCGAAGAGCCGATTTTACAGATCGGATAATGAGTATTGAGATTGACTTTCTTTCTGGTTGTTGGAATGTTGGGAATCTCTTAAGAATGCCTCCCCGGGGTTCTTCCTTCCTTTTTTATATTCTCTAACCCCTCCAACTTTTTCCTTGGAAATCGAGATGTAGGATGACAATTAGAGACGGAGATTCGACATCTAACAATCTTGATTTATTCCTTTATTCTTACATCGTGTCGGACAGTGAACCTCCTATTATTAGCACTTAACGGTCCAGCTTAAAAGATGTTAGACTCATATAACGAGATTACCCCTTTGAGAGAATGCTCCGAAACCGAGGGTTTCAATCGATTCTTGGAGTTCCCCGAAACGGCCTAGTGTGTTTCCGGTTCAGAGGGAATTGAGTGCTGGTGTAACACTTTTCTAGCTATGACAGATTCCTTAGATGTTTTATAACTGGAGTTTCAACACTTGAATTTCTTTTTTCTCTAAGTATCCATGTCGGGCATGATACTTTGATTCGATGGCTCTTTCTTTGTTAGCTTCTGTGAATAAAATACAGCGGATTTATACAGTATGGTGTAAAAACGGTTGCCATGTTCAGCATATACTTTTGATTCAGGTTTCACCCTGCTTGTATAGAAATGACGGAAGAGGAGGCGAAAAGGCTTGATCACTTCTTCTGTGAAACTTGTTTACCTGAAGGTCAGAAGAAGTTGCGGAATTCCCATGCCAATTCCAGACACTCGAATACAAAGGTATTCGTATTCCGTTCTCTTTATGTTCCTTCTCGGTAGCCTTTACTCTATGATGCTTCGACTAATCAATTTCTTAAAGTATCCATTTCCAAAACCCAAAACCCGTGTCTACCACACAACCAAGCTTTTATCAAATACATAAAAAAAAACTTGGAAGAAATTGAACAAATTTGCATCCGACACTCGAACATGAAAAAGAGAGTACATGTTGTTGAACATTGTTACATAAAATTCTCGTATGAATCTAGAGCTCACACCTTAAAGAGATCCTAGAGGCCGCTGATTATATCATTTTTTGTATTGAGAATAACTTGGAGTCTTATGTTTACATGAATGGATTTTTGTTCCCACCATGAACAAGTGTGTGTATTTGTGCAAACATCGACACTGTGTTACAGGTGGATACAAAACGGCTACGGAGGTGAAGAAGGGTACATAAGCCTAGTGCTTTTTGTCAAGAGAATGGAGTGGTTTTCTAAATGATGGCCGAGTTTATACTGACTCACTGGTTTGAAAACCTTCTGTCCTGATTATAGGGTTTGGGGCCAGTCAGTAGAGCTCAATTATGCTTTGGTTGTAAGCCAGTTGTTCGTCTCTGGTTTGTAAATTAAGTTTGTGTTGCATACTATGTTGTTTTCCAATTTATAAATTTATTACAACCCAATCCAGATTTTTATAGTATTTCACTAATTGAATTGGTGCAACTTAAAAATCATAATATATGACAAGATCAATCACAGACAAATAAAAGGAAATCAAATTCATCAATGTAATTCTACAATTTTTGGTGCAATGGCTAAGTTACACAAAGAAGCAGAGCATAAACTAAATCTACGTGCTTTCCATTCCCCATCTGGCTTACCCCAAGTTGTAGCAATTGCACCCCACCCCCAAAAAAAAAACCCTCAACATTTAATATAAAATATCATAAATGAAAATTTAGTCAACCGATGATCGCATGGTTTACTCATCAATGGGACATTGGAATGGTTCACGACATGACCAAACCGAGATTTTCCATCTTCAGTCTAATGCATCTATCGGGTGTATGTGTTTTAGGGCTTTTACCGTATATCGCTGTATAATGTTATACATCGGCGTTAACTTGTTTTTGCTCTCTTCCATACTATAACAACACCATAGAGGTCCGCTGAAACCAACAAGTTCTCTCCGTGGTTCCAAGCTACTACTATAACTGGAAAACGATGACCCTGCAAACAACAATGATTTTAAGTGTTAAAACATAAATAAAAAAGTTCCGAATGAGTTATCCACAAGTACTCGAGATTGTAACCTGCAGCTTATTTACACATGTATGTTTCGGCCGAGTTAAGTCATAGAAGTAGACATTTGAATCCTCACTCCCAGTAACTTCACAGCACAAAACACCATAATATCAGCAATGATATAACAACCATATCTCTGGCTATTGTGATTTGAGAATGAGGTCAAACACATGTAAGTGGCAAGTAAGTTGCAGATACAAACCTATATATTCTCCCTTATCAAGGGAAAGCAGGGGGCAGAAGGATGCTCGAATACTATGTATTCTTGGAGTCAATTTGAGCGAGCAACGTATGGTTAGATAACCTTGTACTTCCAAAGCAACACTGCAAACATACCAGCTATCAGTTACATGACATAAAGACTAAAGTAGAAGGCATATTGTTCTCAACAAACCTAAAGAATGAAAGACTTCCGTCTTTAGTACATGTCAGCAACACAGGACCCCCGGCCAGCAATGAGAAACTTCGATACTTTACAGTAGTGATCGGAAATTTCTGCTTATTGGTACTTTTATAACGATGAGAACGGGATAATGCACCTGTGTGAGAGTCCATAGTTACAGAGTATACACATCCCTACACATGTCATCTCATTAGAAACTTTCTGGAAGGACTATACTGAATTTCTTTGATTCTCCGATTACAACATGGACACATAGGAGAGATACCTGTGCATCACCACAGAAAACGAGATGACCAGTATGATCATGGTCCATTGAGGTAACTTCACTGTCGAAGATGGATTTGGTAATAATCCTCCCAGTGCTGAAATTGAAAACCTGGTGTACAGAAGAGAGGAAGGTACCAATTAAATGTTGGGGTAAATTGAAGTGGATAGGTATATGCAGTTTTTGATTCAATGAAGTTTGAAGTGAGACTGAAAGGAGTTTAGATTCCTAATTTTTGAAAACGTAAATACGGGAACTTAGAAAATCCAAATGCATCATGCAAAACAATGTATGGAGTGCATGAAGATTAAAATATTTTTTTTATAAGAATTTCAGGCCTCATTAAAAACCTCCTTGATTAATGGATCTTTTAGGAGAGGAAAAGAGCCTTAGGATTTTATTAATCAAAGACAAAGTACATAAAATACAACCAGAAGACACTAACAAAACCTTACAAATTACAGAACTTAGAAACTAAACCCCCAATGCGACCAGACCTCCCTTAAGCAACACCAAAACTAACTCAGCCCCAACAACCTCAATAGACCACCAACCCTACTGAAAAACCTCTAAGGCAACCTTAATTATCATCCAATCCCCTGTTTAGCTAAAGTATCAACCTCACAATTGCAGCTCCTCGGGATGTGTCTAATAATGATCTCCCTCTCCAAGATTAGGGAAGTAATTTTCTGAACCAACAAACTAAAAAAGCTAGGAGATGATGTCGGTAGCAAAATCCAATCCACTACTGATTTACAATCACTCTCTATAATTAACCTTTCCTTCATCGCCTAGTCCGACGAGAGAAAAAAGTCAATGCCTTTCTCAATGGCTTTCAGCTCAGCGAGTGGAGGAGGACCTGGGCCAACAGCGTGCGAGAAAGACCCAAGAATTTTACTTTTTGAATCTCTTAAAATGCCCCCAATTCCCCCTAGCAGCCCGTCCCCACTGACTGCCCCATCAACGTTAACTTTAAAAAAATGAAGTGGAGGAGGAAGCCAGCCCTGAACCTTCATCCTTTTAAGGTCCCTAGCATAATGCTTGTCTGCAAGTGTAGGGTCCCCTACAAGGGAGTCTAACTGAATAATGACGTCCGGGTGCTTAGCCAGGAACCATTTAGCCAATCTAAATCTACAAATGAATAAAAGAGTATGGTTGTCCAGTTTCCAATCATAAAAAACCACCGAGTTTCTAGCCTTCCATAATGACCATAGAACTACACCCGGTATAAAGCTCCATATTAGAGAATTTGGCCTCATGTCCGACCAAGAACACAGCAAAGAGACTGGATCTTTAGGTAAGACTGACGAGACTTCCTATAACCTCCAAAAACTGCTCCATAGGTCCCATGCAACCAAACACGATATGAACAAATGCTGAACTGTTTCTTTCTGCTTAGCACAAAACGAACAAGAGACCTCCTCCAATGTAACACTTCTTCTTATCAACTCCGTTCTAACTGCCAATCTTTGATGAGAGACCTGCCACAGAAAAGTTTCAACTCTTGGGGGAGCCAAACCTGACCAAACGAACCTTTTCCATTTGAAACTACCCCCTGAATTGGTAGAAAGAGTCAACCTACATGCTTTAGCGGTGAACAGTCCATCTCTCTTCCCCGACCACGCTAGAAAATCATCCACCGAATCAGACATACCAACATTCTCCAATAATGACATCAATTGAATCCAGTAATCCAGCTCTCAATCACATAGTTTCCTTCTCGTTTGAATGTTCCAAATCTATCTATTACTCAAGAAACTGCCAAACTCTGAAACTTTTCCCCACTTGTTATTAGAAAGAACATAGATCCTTGGAAATTGATTCTTTAAAGAATCCTCATTTAGCCAAACATCGTGCCAGAATACAATAGACTTGCCATTGCCTACTTGAATCTTCGAGTGAGATCACAAACCATGTCCAATTGCATCATCTGCCAAATAGTTTCTTGTAATACCCTTCTATATCCAAGAATCCGAAGGAGAGACTACCTTTTTGAGGTCTAAAGACAGATTACTCACATTATGTTTACTACAAATCATGTTCTTCCAAAGAGTGTCTTTTTCATTTGCGAACTTCCATACCCATTTACCTAGCAGCACTCTGTTAGCGAAATTCAATCCAAGATTCCCAAACCTCCCTCCTCGAAGGGTTGACAAACCCTTTTCCAATTCACCCAGTGAATTCGACTTTTTGAAGAACCTTCTCCCCACAAAAAGTTAGCCATAAGATAATTTAACTTCCTATAAACCTTACTCAGGATTCTGAAAACAGAGAGGAAGAAAATCGGCAAGGAGGACAGAACTAATTTTATCAACACCAATCTGCCCGCCATAGATAGTGTGGAAGCTTTCCAACTGGACATTTCACTGTAGATCTTTAAACGGGCAGAGGCTTGTCTTACCCCAAGCTAAACATCAAAATTCACAAAACAATTTACTAGAGAAAGTAATGAATTTTGCTAACATATCTAGAGTCTAAATTTGATGATATAGACTACCCAATTTACCATACTACATCAACCACAGTGATTGCTCATTAAATTTGACTTGAGATGATCAACAGGTTATTTCTCACTTTGCTAAGAAGCTGTAAATTAAGAGTAAGTAAAGACATGGAGGAGTTCTTACAGTGATCTCTTTATTTGTGTTGCCAACTGAAAGAAAGTTGTTATTTACCTATGGCCAAGAAAATAAGAGATTAGAAACATTTTAGCCAGCAGTTGACCCAAATTAAATATACATACAATGTATATCCACAATTTTTTTTTCAAGATATAAACTAAAGTTTCATAAGACATAAAGATTGTTTTGCAGCCTCAATTAAAATTAGGCCATATAAACCAAGCATTCATGTTCACAGGTTGGAGCAGATTTTCTTTTTTGATAAGAAAATTGGATGGTTGAAACGGAATTGGTTTCAATATTACAGCAGATAACAAGAAAATGCAGAATAACCATAAAAAATTTACATGGCCTGAATTGGATATCTTATTAGTGATGACGATTGGTACTCACAGGATGAAAGCGAATACACAATTGTTGAGAGACTCCATATATTACTCTTATGCAAAGGCCTTTCGATAACTCCCATACTCGCACAGTCTTATCCTCTGATGATGACGCGATATATTGATTGTTAGATGAGAAGTCAAAATCTGATAGAAACATAGTTAAAACCATTAGATTCAAATCACACTTATCAAAATGATACTCAATCCTAGTTACCAATATCTAGAAATTTAATGAGAAGAACAATAACATATAGCATGTAAATTTGCATCCATTTTAGATTAAGGGGAATATATGCACACCTAATACCAGTTGTTTAAAGATTTGGTTGAATGTATCATTCCCACAGCAAGCCATAGGAGCTATTGTAGGGTACCATAATGATGAATTGTTCAAATATATCTGGAAACTTAATGAGACTAGCATCCATTTTATATCATGAGGAATATTCATAAGTAAAAGGATAGAACCTTGCTGACCCAGTTCAACTCCACAGTAACTCCAAAATGAGAATAAAGAAAATGGAATAGACCAAGTAAACCAGACATGGACCACACCGCAATCTCAATAAATGGAAGACATTAGCAGACAGCATGGATGCAAAAACTTTAAGATATAAGAAAGACTACAGATATAATGCCAGTATATCCAACCTGTGACATCTTTTGAGTGGCCTTTTAATTGATGGATAACTGAAGGTGGGTCAGAGACAGTGCAAACTGTTAAAGTCCCATCTGCAGCCCCATATGCAAGTAGATCAGAACTCATGTGCCCAAACTTCAAAACTGTAACTGCATGTAAGACCAATCATATTGCTTCATTTCGAAAGATCAAAATTCACTGCTCAAAATAGCATGATAAAGAAGAAAGGAGTTTAGATTGCATTAAAGATTTATAAGAAGGTACCAGCAGCTTTGCACTGATCAAAGATGCAGTGCATTCCCACAAACGAATATGCAGGTTCAGCTCCTTTTCCATGAGAGCGATCACTATCACTCATGCTTGAGCTGAAACTTGTTCTATGATTTGAAGCCAGAGCTCCACTTCTTAAATCCTGCAAGAAGGGAAAGGTATGCAGCTCTTTCATTTCTTTTGAAGGCATGTTTATAAGGTTCCAAATCCTATAATAACTGAGACTTTGAAACATACAAGTTTTATCCCTTGACATGCAAGAAGTCCGTTTTTAATGAATAAGAAAATTAAAGCCTTCCTTTCTTTCATTTCATATCAAGAACATGATGAATGAGTGGTCTTGAAAAATGATCAAAACGAATATAAAATAAAAAGAGTCATTTGCTGAATTCAGACAGCAATGGACAATGCAAACTAAGAATATAATCCATGCCCTAACTGATTGAGAACGAAAATTGCATGACAAATATTATATATACCTTGCTTGAGCTCCAGCTTTCCACCTCGAACAAATGTGAGAGTGGACTTGAAGTTGACATCCATCGCCCACTGATGCATCAACCAGTAAATTACCCTGACGTCAGAATTTTATAAAACATAAAATTTTAAAGTAGAACTCACAAAATTAGCACTTGATTGTTCATTAAACATCTTTAACCCTAGCCACTGACATTCATTCAATCTAAAAAATGCAGCTGCAGTTGGTACTTTCATAGCCATATTTCGTGAAGCAAATGAACAAATGTTTAAAAGAACGTTAGTTCTGGATAGTTAAGATACCTGTTCCCAGGAGTGCTTGAGTAGCTTGGTAGTTGTGAACTTTCCCAGTTTCTTGGCCTACTAATGTAATTTCGATAAGCCACATAACCTTTTCCGTTACATCTCCAACCCTTCAAATTAATTGAAGAATTAAGATAAATTCCAAACAGAAACAAAGAAAATGTCATTTTTATAGATAATTTTTCACAAAAAGGATACGTTCTCTTGCCACTTCTTTGTAAATAAAATGAAAGCTTAAGAAAACCTATAACGAAGTGAAATCGTGGAAAATTGGTGAATGTAAAATGAAACCAGATAAAAGAACTTGTTTTGCTTCGTATTTAACAAATAAACGAACTTAAAAGCTTCCATTTCAATACGAACAAATGGAACAATGATTCTAGCGTTACTAGTTATGCAAATCCTATAAAAGTAGCTCAAAATCATGCTATTTAACAAACCAAAATCCAGATCCGCAGCTAAAACCTACAAATATACGCAGCCAAATTGAGAGGAGAAAGAATAAAAGCTTACAAGTCGGCGATGAACACCGTACTCGGCTTTGCGAGCGAGAAGAAATCGCCGAACACCGACAGAATCGCGATCGGAATCTGAATTCGCCGGTTGAAGCAAGCAACTGAAAATTTCCGGATCTTTCACATTCGCTTTCTTCACAGTGACTTTAACGGTATCCATAACGGTACCGTTGGTAGTACAACCGTTGTTAGTCTCGGTATCGGTGGCACCGTCGTGTATGGAGCAGTTGTTCATGCTTGTAACTTCCGCCATTGAATTACACTTGTTGCCGTCGCTTCATCAAAGACCGTCAAGTACCTTTGGGCTTAAGTTGGGGATAAGGCGCAGATACATATATTACTGAAAACCAACAGCAAAGACTTTTGGGGCTTTGGGATTGGATCTCAAATCAAAATCGAGATGAAGCAGAGAAGAAAGAAGCACGTTCGTTTTTACTAGTTTGCCCTTTATATACCCGCCCCCAAAAGAACTACCGACTTCGCACCTTTATCTCTTTTTTACCTTTTTTGTTTATTTTATTAGCTGTATTTAAATGAATTATCGAAATAAATCATTTTCGCCGTTCTAGATGAAACAATGCTCTGACTTCTGTATTCCGGTCAATGGAAAATATTCGAAAACAAATATGTTTTAGATAAAATTTAAATACGTTAAAATCACTTCTAGATTAAATTCATTTACATAATATATGTTAGTATTTATGGTACACAAGTTATATAATCTTTCTCATTGTCAATAGCTCTTTAGAATAATGGTTAAAATTTTCTTATTGATATTTAAGTTCATAATTCTCGATATTATTTAAAAAATAATATATTTCATAACAATGTTTGGCAATAGAGCAATTCATTAATGTCATATTTTTTGAATATATATACCTGATGTTTGTATAATATACAGAGATAAAATCTATTTATATATTATATTAAATTTTACAAAAAATATAAACATCGAATGAATTTAAATAGATAGGAAATATTAAAATTATGTTAAATATTTTTTTACATAAAATAAACAATTTTATTTTAATCTCATTCTTTCTTTCATTTAGTGGCAAATGTATATACCACTCTAAAAATTTATTTGTGTCCCGTTTCCATACGAAAATCTTTTGTTTTTAATTTATATGTTTTCACTTTGAAAAATATTTCTAGATCCGTCACTACTTCCATAATTATATTTTCACCTAAAACTAATGGATTTCACATGGTTTAAACGAAAAAAATGAAATTTACCTATGACACAATTTTTTTATTCTTTATGTATAAATATCGAACTCAGGTAACAAAATCTGCCCTGCTACCAGTTTGCATGAAAGTTTTTGGAACTTAGAGGTTTGCATGCAAGTAAACAACTAGTAACTTCTTCTATTTCAAAAGAGAGAGAAAAATAAATTTATTAAATGCTGGTAAAAAGAACTGACCAATGGGAAGTAAAAAAAAAAAAAGCAATGTTGAGGCTTTCCTCAACTCCCCAATACAGAGGGTGCATTTAAATCCGATTTCCTAATATTGTTGGAACAGAACTTCTTACCTATCAAAATTCAACTCCATCGACATAGTTTTTTTATTCGACTACTTGATGCTTCAATCGTCTTTGTCGTCAACCAACGCGAATGAAAACGACTGGAACTTGTAACCGTCTCCCTCATAGAACTTGTTCTGAAATTCCACCCAATGAAGTCTCAGAGCATGTAGGAAAGCACTCAGGGTTTCCATAATTAGCAATACACCGACGGTTGCAAAAATAAAGATAATGATACCGACAACGAGGATGACCATATTGTCGTTTCTGTTGCAAGCAAAGCGCACACCATCATCATATGCATATCGACATGGACGTGAAGTTTAGATAAAATCGAATACACTCACTCATGTTTAATTTAATTATACTCCTATCTAATGCTCATTCTAAATTTAGATAATATAAGTCATAGGAGCAATATCATAAGACGTTAACTGTCAAGATTTGTTATTTCTGCTCGTTGAGGACACATGCAAAAGCATAAGGTAATGCGAAAGGCGTACCCCCAAGCAAGGAGAAGAATCTTCTCATAGAACACAACTGACAACTGTGAGTGAGCAAGACTGCAAAAAGAGAAGAGCAAACATGATGAATTTGCCGCTTCCACAAAATTCGATAACTTTTAGTATAAATGAATGAAAACAATATATGTAAAAAAATAACTCTAGCATATTCTTGGGGAGCTTATGTTGGAAGGCACAAAGCAATTTCTCTGCGAAAAGGACGATTATCCGCGTGGTATCTTTATCGGGTTTACAAAATCAGATGGAACGTGAATGAAAAAATGAGCTCACCAAAGAATCCATCTTTTAAAAATTCAAACAAAAACAAAGTTTAAAATTGGTGTTACTGAAAACATAACATACCTGAGGGCCCATAATCGGAGGTATGAGGCTGTGTTTGAAACTGCACCAAGCACAAACTCTATGGTGTGTATGAGTTGATGCACAAAGACTTCACTAAACTCAAATTCCTCATGATCATGACCATGGGAGTCATGATTCAACTCTGATAAGAGAGTGCCGTCAGTTGTTTGAACTGGTGCGTATGATTGGCCTCGATGCCTCTAAAGAAAAGGCAGAAGATAATAAGTGATGGAAAGAGGATCGAAGTAATGCTTAAAAACATGTTTTGGTACTAAATTGAGAAACAGCATAACATACGTTTTCATGCTGTCTCTTCAGAAAAAATGGCTTTGGTAACAGCATCCATGGTACGGAAACCAGGGCAAGTAATAGTAGCACAAGCTGGAAAGCAATGCACAAGAATATTAAGTGGGATGAACATTCCTCTAAAGAATGGTATTAAATTAAAAATGATCATAAAAAGCAAAAGAAATAACCTGAACTGTTTTTTGGCCCGGAAAAAGCTGATTATCCCCCAATTCATCAGTAGGGCTCAGGAACATGTATATCATTATGTGGTACAAATCAGCTTGTGAACCAGTGTACCATTTTAAAATGACAAGGAATGATAGATAGCCAAATAGGCTGTTCAAAAATATCATCTGGGGAATAAATTGAAACCTGAGGAATGCATAAGCAAAGGCAACCTCAGTCAGTAGTGAGCTAAAGACCTGGAATATCTAAGCAAAGCAAATATCTCGATTAGCATATCAAACTTACCAGATATTCAGACAATTACCAAAGAATGTTGCATTGCAATAACTCAAAATAATTCCGAGGTTCATCTGAGCCACCCCAAGAAGGATTGACATTTTCATCTTCAGAGAGTTTAGGAATGGCAGCTCACTACGGGTTCCATGCCATGCAGGATCCACACCAAATGGGTAAGTGTCACGCACCTTAATCAAACCAATTGAATATGCATCCCTGCAAAAAGGCAGCCAAAGGCTGTGAGGAAGGGATTATACTAAAGTAGGAAGAGTATACAACATTGGTAACATCCCAACTGAAATACCGGCAAGAGAGATCACGACAAGCATAAGCCGAGGGACCAAATAAATCAAGAGCTACAGAGAAGCACTCATTATAGATAAACCCGGTGTAAATTGAGAAGAGTGACATCATCATAATTACATAACGGCCACCAAATGTCATTTCTGTTATATCTCCAAGCTTCTGCAGTTTTCAAGAATTATAACTTAGTTTCCATCGATAGAGACAACAAACCAAGAAGGAATGCAGATAAATATTACAAACACGGAGAACTAAAAGCATCCCTACTTTGTAAGGAAACCCATCGAATCAAAACCAAAAACATGGCAAGGCCATATTTCCACAAAATCCATTATATGATATCATTCATGGTATACAATTATACATTAAGTTGATCCTCATTGAACTTTACTGTTCACAAAAATAAACCAAAAATCTCTTAGTAATATAATATAACCCAATGTCACACATCTATTTACCATGTTAGCAAAGTTAAAACATAAGAGAATCTTATTCCTTCAGCAGTTTAATCATCGATGAGACCAACAAAGAAGTAGCAAATAAACAGAAAAGGGACAAAACAATGGAGGAATCGATATGTCCTCAAATAGTTTTGCACACCAACGCTAAAGTTCTAGAAACTGAAAAGTTGATTATATCATCACAAGCTTACCTGACTGGAAAGTTTCTTTTCCCGGACAATCAAAACTAATGTTGCAAGTAACAAGCATATTCCATGCCCCCAATCACCAAACATGACAGCAAAAAGGAAAGGGAATGTAACAATAGTGTAAACACCAGGATTTCCTTCCTGATACTTTGCCACTCTGCAATTAAATGTGACAATGAGCATTACATTTCTGTCTGTCACATGATAATTAGCACATGAACAGTGATATACAATATACAGAGAAAAGACAGACTCCAAAACAGAATACGAAACAATAAGCTTTAAGAATGAGAATATGTCAAATAAGACAAAAATGAATACTGAACAATCTCTTCTTCAAATTCAATAGTAACCTAAAATAACTTTTCAGAATCTTTAAGAATGCATTAGGAATATTTCACCACGACTCTCCATTTCTAACCCAATGCAGCTTGGCAGTCAATAATTTATCTATCTAGCCATTTCAGTTCTCTCTCTCAATTTGGATGTAGTATAGACCTCATCCCTTCAATTTTGCATCAAATTACAATTGAAAGGAACAGATTAGAATGTGTACACCTAATTCCCAGGGTCCAAATGAGGTCAGTGATTTTATTTAATTTGAACTGATATGTTATAGAAGCAGGTCAGTCCACCAATGTGCAGAAACAAATTAGATATAACAATTAGGATATACTCGCACTCAGAATTCATCGGTATCACTTTTTCTGGGTTTTGTTTTTCTTCTTATTTAAGCAGAGCTATATTGGTTGAAAGAGTTTCTGTGAACTTACCCATATGCATCAACAATTTCCTGAAAAGCAGCAGTAAATTTATTTGTGCGAAAGTAGGTAGGTGGTAACTCCCTTGTATGCAAAACCTGTAATATGGCTCCGACTTGAGAGCTGGAGTCAACTGAAGCCCGCTGCAATGCCTCCTGAATCTGAATAAAAAATGCTCAAAGTCATACATCATTAACCTATTAATTAAAAGTTCTCTTCAAGGTTGTACAAACAAACCACAATTCAACAAAGATCATGATGACACAAATTAAAAAATATCAATCAAGGACAAAGGGATATGTAAAGAAAGGTCAGGAAACTAATACCTGTTTTGTGGCAAAAACAGGGCTCCATGCCTCAGCCACAAGACATTTCTTTGTTACATCAAGACTAAGCATATTCAGAGTATGATAAATTGATTTCTCCTTCTTGACCTACAGGAGTAAAAGAAAATAGTTTACTCGCCGATTTATGACTTCAACAATGCATTAGCATCTCA